AGAGAGAAAAATGCTGAAAGAGAGGATACTTCCGTAGCATGGACGACGGGGGGTCAACTGCCATATTTTAATAAACACTTGATGAAAAAATGCAGAAAGAGAGGATACTCAATATTTTAATAAACTCTTATAAAGAATTACCTTTTTTTTTATTAACCATAACCTGCACTAGGGTTGATTCATTAAGCAGATCACAAAATCGTTCTCACATCGCATTATCTCCTATGAAAAAACAAAAGCAGGCGGCTGAAACAGAGGAGACTCTGTCCCCAGCCATTGACGACAGAATATCCCAACTGCCAATAACTATACGTCACCACATTCTCTGTTTCCTCTCCCAGAAAGAAGCTTTGAGAACTTGTGTACTCTCCAAACAATGGCGCCACATAGGAACAACCCGCCCCAACCTCGAGTTTTCTGAAGTATGGTTCCACAACACACAAGAAAAGTTCATCTCCGTCATCAACCGAACCCTACAAGGATACTGTGATCGAAACCTCTCCATACACAAACTCCATCTCCACATATCGAACCCTGACTCACGACAGGTCATCTCCCTTCTCGACCAATGGATGCGGATAATAGCCGCCCTCAACATAAAAGCGTTCAAACTTAACATTCTTTCTTTTACTCCGTTGTATTACTCGGCAGTGTTGTTAGCCGAGACCCTCGAAGAACTACACCTAAACGAATGCAAGCTGAGCCCAGTCGAGAGTGTGCGGTTCAAAAGTCTGCACACGCTCACCCTCGAACGGATCCATGTTGATGACGGGACTTTGGAGACAAAAACGTTGGGATGCCCTTTGCTCAGGCGCCTGGTCCTTAAAGATTGTCGGGAGTTGAGAAACGTTAGGTTGAGCGAGGCGCCTGGGCTCACGCACTTTGTATTGTCTGATTACGAGTGGATTAAAGGGCGTAGCATCAAAATCGATGTCCCGAATATCGAGACAATCTTTATCAATGGCTCATGGATTTGGTCTCACCGCCGAAGCCCATTCTTGTTTTCTCGTCTCACGAGTTTGCATCTCTGTAATGTGATCCTGTCGAGCGAGTTTATCGACCTGTTATCGTTCGGCTGCCCGACTCTTGAGAGGTTGACCCTGGATAATTGCTCCGGTATTGAGGAATTCCATCTTGCAAGTGATTCGGTCAAGTTCTTGCGCATCTCGACAAGCGAAATACTGGTTAAAGGAGTTACGATTTGTGCCCCAAACATTCTCAGTTTTATGATCATTGCCAGTATTCCCCAGGCGCTGGACACATTCTCTTTCACGACCACTACTTCCAAGGAGTGGGATTCATATGTAATCCTCTATTTGTGTGAGGATGATCCCTATTTCAACGTCAAATCATGGTTCATTAGACGAATGCTCAAGCCACTAAGTGGGTCTCGGATTGATCTGACTCTGCACATGAACTGCGGTCGTGGTCTGGGCGTGCCATGTGGTGCTCTTGACGACAGTCATCTTCTATGTGACGAGCCGCCTTTGGTGGTAGAGAACTTGGAATTTGGAAATGGTAGATGGCGCACGGAATCTTGGTACTCGGATTTTACGAAGGATTTGTTTCGTGTTTGTCGACCGAGGCACGTATGGGATCGTAGGCCCATGAGCAAGTCGGAGGTGGCCAGGAACCAGAGGCTCTCAGACTTTCAGTTCAACATCTTGCTTGCAAGCATGAGCCTCAGGACCTTTTGGCGGCACGATTTGGAGCAAGTGCACGTGAAAACCGTCAATGGGGAAAAATGGCAGCTCGTGGAGTGGACGGACCTTTCAGAATTGCGAAACAGGACGTATGATGGGGTAATATGCGTTAAGTTGAAATGGAGAGGTCAGAATTGCGAAACAGGACGTATGGACGAACCTTTCCGGTTTTCTTTCACTCCAGTTGAAGGCCTAGGCTTATATTCTTTCATTTCAGGATTATTTTATAAAATATAATAGACAATATCTTTCTAGTTTTATGTTGTTTTATTTTATAAAATTAATATTGCAATTAAGTTAATAAAATATATACTACATTGCGGTCGAAAAGCAGATTCAATAACTAAGAAGTAATAAAATAAATACTACTTTGCTGTCAAAAAGCAAGTGTAAATGACAGAAAAGGCATAGTGTAAAAATAAGTCCAGCAATCCCAAATATATTGCATCATCTAATAAAACATATTTTTGTTGAAAAATAAACTTCAAAATTTGTTATATAATTATTAAAACTTTCTTTAAAAAATATTTTATTAACTTCATTTATCACTTATTTTTATTTAACTATTTATATAAGAGCTCTAAATTTTTTTATAAAAAGTAATTTGATATTTAAAAATATTATTTTTTAATATGGTATTTTAGACTATAAAACAGAAATATAATATTTATTGAGTATTTAGATGTGGATAAGAATTGCAAAAAAATAAAAGAAAAATTGCAATATAAAAATTATGGAATACTTAGATGTGGATAAAAATTGAACGTTGTACAGTTTTAATATGTTTGCATTATTATAAGATTTTAATTAATTTTAGTATTTACTAAAGTTAGTTTCATATATTACTTATATTATATTAATATATTAATTTAATATTTATTAAAATCGATAAAATAGACTGTAAAACTGGTTAAACCGTGTACTGATGGCTCGTCCGATATAACTACTTGTGCAGTATTTAAAGTACTATTAAATATTATAAATTGTAATAGTTTTTTTAAATATAATTAAACCTTTTATTAATGAAAGACGACTAGTTTTTATTATTATTATTATTATTATTATTATTATTATTATTATTATTATTATTATTATTAACAATAACCAGCATTAGGGTTAATTCATTCGGCAGACACGGAAAATCGTTCTCACATCACAAAATCTCCTATGGAAAAGCAAAAGCAGGCGGCAGAAACAGGGGAGACTCTGTACACAGCCATGGACGATAGAATATCCCAACTGCCAATACCTATACTTCACCACATTCTCTGTTTCCTCTCCCAGAAAGAAGCGGTAAGAACATGTCTCCTCTCCAAACAATGGCGCCACATAGGAACAACCCGCCCCAACCTCGACTTCTCCGAATTATGGTTCGACACACAAGAAAAGTTTGTCTCGGTCGTCGACCGAACCCTACAAGGATACCGTGATCAAAACCTCTCTATACACAAAGTCCATCTCGACATATCGAGGCCCCAACTAGCCGTCTCCCTTCTCGACAAATGGATCCCGACGATACCTGCCCTCAAACTCGAGTTTCCTTCATATAGTTGGTCATATTGCATCCTGCCCTCGGCAGTCTTCTTAGCCGAGTCCCTCGAAGAACTACACCTGTTCATGTGCAGGGTGAGCCCAGTCGAGAGCGTGCGATCCAAACGTTTGCGCACGCTCACCCTCGAATGGGTCCTCATTAATGACGGTACTATTGAGAACATAATGTTGGGCTGCCCTATGCTCGAGCGGATGGCCCTTTTTAGTTGTCAGGAGTTAAGAAACGTTAGACTGGTGAGCGAGGGAGCTTCCCGTGGGCTCAAGCACTTTGAATTGGATGATTTCAAAGGGGGTAGCATCGAAATTGATGTCCCAAATCTCGAGACGGTCCGCATCAAGGGCCCATGGATTTGGTCTAACCGCCAAAGCGCATTATTGTTCTCTCGTCTCACGAGTTTGGATCTCAATGAGGTGATCCTGTCGAGCGAGTCGTTTGACATGTTATCGTTCAGCTGCCCTACTCTTGAGAGCTTGACCCTAAATAATTGCTCTGGTTTCAGGGAATTCCATCTTGCAAGTGATTCGGTCAAGTGGTTGACCATCTCGACAAGAAGAACACCCCTTAAAGGAGTTACCATTTGTGCCCCCAACATTGTCCATTTTGAATTCACTGCCCGTATTCCCCAGGTGCCGGACACATTCTCCTTCACGACCACTACTTCCAAGGAGTGGGATTCAAATGTAATATTCCATTCGTGTGAAGATGATCCCGATTTCGACGTCAATTGGTGGTTCCTTAAGCTGAGACGAATGCTCAAGGCACTAAGTGGGTCTCAAATTTCTGTGATTCTGCGGATGAATGGCGGCCCTCAGAACTTGCCCTGTAGTAGTGCTGTTGTCGGTGACGAGCCGCCTGTGGCTGTGAGGGACTTGAATTTTGATTCTTGTAAATGGCGCACAGCGTCTTGGTATATGGGGTTTATGAATGGCTTGTTCCGTGTTTGTCGACCGAGTCACGTATGTGGTTGTTGGTTCGTGGACAAGTCGGCCGGAAAATACAGGCTCTCCGCGTTTCAGTTAAACATCTTGCTTGCAGACAAGAAAGTCAGGACGGAGCCATACTTTTGGAGGCACGATTTGGAGCAAGTGTTTGTAGAAACTCTCGACGGGCAACAATGGCAGCTCATGCAGTGGACGAAACCGGGGAACTTGCGAAAACGAAAGCAAGACGGGATTATTCGCCTTAGATTGAAATGGAGATGTTAGAATGTTTCTAACGGACTCATAGTCAGTATGATGGTTTAATATGGGTTGTGTTAAAATGAAGAGGTCAGACAACACTTTTCTATTTACTATATATCTCTTATGTTTAAGCATTTCGTCTGATGTCATATTAGGCTGCAAAAAAGTATATACAGTGTAACAAAAAGAAAAAAAAAAAATGCTGCACAAATATAAATAGACTGACAAATGACATTTTTTCTTTTGTTGTTGCCTGGTTTTGAAAATCAATTTTGGACAATTAAAATATACAAATGGGTTTAAAGTTTTCAATTGATATGTGATCATTTGCAACTACTGAGTTTCACATTCTGTCATGATTTTTACCAAAATAGTCCAAGTCATAACCTTGCATAGCAAATTAATCTGAGTGGAATAGTAGGCGATTTGATCAAGTACACAACAAAAATAATCCCGGTGAAGCAAATCTGATTTTTAGTGAGGAAGAGTGTTGAGTTTCTATATGTTCATCATACATGTGTTTAAGTGGAAGGAGTTGGGCAGAAATTATTTTGGAGAATTTCACCATATTCTGCCGGAATAACCCATGGCGCGTCAGCTACATCACCGTCTTCGGCCTTTGTCGTTTTCCCGATCTGACGTGACCAAGCTTCCTCTCGTCCACCATGGCAACCTGTATAGCAACGAGGGATCAATTTTCCTAATGCGGTGCAAAATTCCTCGGCAATTGTTCATGTTCAGCATGGTGACACATCTTTTCCGTGCAAGTACTATTTTGTTAGATTCTATGTTGTGGATAGAGCTATATGCACCCTCTCAATTCAGGCAGCTTAGTATTTCTATGCT